TCGGCTTTTAAGATACATTTATTTAAAGTAGTAGTTTGTTGTCAAGAGATAATTGGGATTTACGTCCTAGGAGCCAGGACATTTCTGTTACTTTTAAATTTAGTTGTTGCCTCTTTGTTTGAATGTGATTTTTCTGATCCAAGTGTAATCCTAGATATTTTACTTCGTCATGAATGGGGATTTGAATATTGTTAAAACTAACAGGAGGGCATACTGATCGCTTGTTTGTGAAAGTCACTTGTGCGGATTTGGTTTGATTAATTTTAATTTTCCATTTCTCAAACCACACTTTTAATACATCTAGATGATATTGGAGTTGTTGCGATGCAATAACTGGATTAATGTGTGTTTATAGAAGGGCTGTATCATCTGCGAACATTGCTATTTTAGTATTGTTTGTAGTAGGTAAGTCCGCAGTGTATATTAAGAATAATATATACTTGAAAGAGATTTTTTGATTTTGTGCAATAAGCCACTATGCCACACCTTATCTAATGCTTGAACAACGTCTAGAAATGCGGCGGTACAAAATGTTTTTTCTTCGAGACTTTTGGTAATTTGGTTAATTATTGTATGCATTTGCTGGACGGTCGAGTGGTGTTCCCTAAACCCAAATTGATAGTCAGGGATTAGTGTGGATAATTTTACATCGTTAACGACTCTGTTTAATATCAATTTTTCAAATAATTTGGATGTTATTGGTAATAAGCTAATAGGACGATAAGAACTGACTTCATTCAACGCTTTTCCAGGCTTAGGTATCATTATGATTTGAGCAACTTCCATACCACGGGAAAGTATGACAATCTCAGCATGTTGTTGAATATTATTGTTAACAGCACCATAGTCTTCCTCGGTAAGTGTCTTAATATTTTTGCAGTTATAAGATCATAGCCAGGTGCTTTATGTTGATTTAATTTTCTTATTTCTTAAACTATTTCGTTGGGTGAGAAGTATTTGATAGGTAGTGACATCTGGCAAGGTACATCTAAAAATTTTTCAATTTCCCTGTCGTTATTGTTTATTGTATGTTCATGAGGTGTAAAAGTCTGGACAAGATATTCAGCAAACGTGGTAGCTTTTTCAAAGTCACTTTTGGCCCATGTCCTATTATTTTTTCTTATAGGTGGTATTGGCACTTGAGGTCTTTTAAACTTTTTGGTGGCCTTCCAGATAGTGATCTTCTTTACTGAGATTGGTTAAATATTGTTCAAAGGAAGCATTTCTTGCATTCGCTAGTGTATTGTGGAGTTTGCATTTTAACCTGTTGTAAGTAATTTTATCATCGTTGTTACGTCATCTTTGCCATCTGTTTCGGGCTCGACGTTTTTCGGTTTCCAATTGACGGATATGCAGTGGTATGTTATATGTGTCCTTGGTTTTCGGGTTTACTGGCGGAGTTGAATGCCATGCTGCTTGTTGGATTAGTGTGGTGAAATACTAAGTTGCTTGGTATATTTGGTTTACTTATCACGTGTGTGCTTAGTGTTAGGATTACAGGAGTATGATCAGAGGATAACTCATAATTTGGTTCAATCTGAATGTAATTTAATGTTACACCCTTGTGAATAAAGAAATCTAACAAGTCTGGTAGTCTGGTAGTCACAATTTACTCTGTTAATTGCCTGGAGTAGATTTCTTCCTTTTAGTGTTATTAATATAAAATCTAAAAAAAGTCTTATCGGGTCTAAAAAAATACCCGGAAGCAATTAAAAATCGGTATAAATTCCTTGACAACATAGACAGACATAAAGATAGGAAACTCTCATAAGAAGTACATACTTTACAACAACCAGCTCGAACGCAGTCAACATCTGACCCACTATGTGGCGCTTTTATCGATATCATACAAATAACGAAGCGAAAAATTTAAAAACCTAATAATAAAGGTTGTAAATTAGTCCAGTAACTGAAGGGACCAACCTGTCATTAAGTCGGTCCATATTTCCGTTGTGGCTCAACTCTTAGGTCTCGACGGTCGCTTCCAAGGTCGAAAACTTTCACCAACTCTGCTGCGTCGGAAAGGGCCCAAAATGGCCCCTCAAACTGGTTTCCCGCCAATATCTTCCACAATATGCAAATTAGAGAATTTTTGTTTAGATAAAAAAGAAAGATTTTATCATTATTTACAAAAATGGTCCCTATCATTTTTGTCGGGAATTCGACAGATTTCGAGATAACAGCAATGAAAAGTCCCCTCGTTCAGCCCCTGCTTTCTCTATAACAATGCTGATTAGCTTGTAAACGAGTGGACAAATTGTTTCAGAACTCGGTCAAAAATTGATATTTTTCGATGATTCAAAGTTCATTGCAATGGGAAAATCCATAGGTATCGATCCATGTGCCTTGAAGCCCGTTATTTCCAGTCAAGAACATTGAAAAAGGGGTCAAAGTTGCGTTTTCCCACTATTTTGGACCACTTTATAGTAATTCATTCATATTTTTTTCTTTTAATAGTTTTTTATCCCATTATTATTTTAAATGGGATCTTGAGATGTCTCGAATGATCTCAGAAAATTTTTTCCAGTATCTTCCTGGCGTTTTAAAACAAAATTGATTTGTTTATTTGCATTTTTCATACGTTTTCGGAGTTCTAGAAATCTTTGAAACAAGCAATAATTAAAAACTCATATTTCATTATACTATTATTCAATGCACACCATTTTAAAGCTTAGAGTGTCTACTTTTCGAATGTATTTTTTTTTTTTAATAAAGTTGCTCCATTTTCCAGAAATCGGAAAAATTGATCACACCGGGGAAAACCAGACTGTTTTTTAAATACTTCTTGTTCCCCGCTGTTCATTGAACATTAATACCCAGACCAAAGTGAAGCTGATATTCTCACCTTTCCATTTCTACCAATTGATCCCCGTATGTGAGCGTGGTTCTTAACTGTTTGTTAGAATTATCTCCCCCATTTTTACGCTCTCCGCCTGAGATCCATGATATTTCATCATAACCTAACCACGTGTACCCACGCGCCACGCGCTCACCTTAATCGTCTGATTTTGTTGGTATACAATCTCTGTTGTTTTTGGAGTCGTTATTGTCGGTATTATTGATAGTATTTTAGAAAAATATTGATAGTATTTTATCATTATCAATTAAGTTTTTAAAGTGAAAAATTCGACGTCATTCTTGAATTTTCAAGAATTTGTTTTTGTTTGTGGGGAACAGAAAAGGTTTGGAAGAATTGTTTATGTTTGTAAGCCGGACTGAAATGCTCGCCTGTCTGTGGTTCGTGTCAGTCGACACAGTGTTTTAATTATAACAAAAATGAAGGTATTATCCCGGAAGAATTAGAGATGGATCGAGACCCAGAAGCGGTTAAAGGGGAGGAGGATGAAATAGCTGTCGAGACAGCAACACAGGGGTTGGAAAAACAGTGGGAAGGGACGCGTGGAGGAGGGGAAGGAATAGAGCAAGAGCAAGACGATGAAGAGTATAATTTTGATGACATTGAATGGTTTAACGATTGATAAATTATAAGCATTGCTATGTATTTCGTATTTTCAACATGTTTTTCATAATAAAAGAAATTTTTCAGAAACTTTCTTATTTTTCTGAAATCCTGGACCTATATTGTTCCGATAGAAGTTGGCGAAAATTTTGCAAAAGACGCAGAAAATATAAAGGGTCTTCTCGGGTCAATATTCATCACACTCTAAAACTAGCGCCGGGTTTTGAGACAGCCACATGAAAAAAAAAAATATTTTGAACTTTTCTAATAAATTTTGCAACGCAAATTACACAGAACATTCGGCAATATAGATTAGATACCACAAGCGCTACTTTACAGAAAAAATCCCGTAGAATCTGCCAATAATTGTCGAAAGATCGACTGGTGCCCGGATTTTCATTCATAGGCCCCATAAGTTAGTGAGCAGAGGTACGCCGCTGGCGCCATCTAAAATTGGTCTCCAAAGTCCAAAACATGAAAATCAATGTATTCCCAACTCCCTCGAGCGGAAATTCAGTGAGAAACTAACATTTCTATTCAGTGCAAAAATTCGGGCTTCTTCGAAGGCCGTTTTTGTAAAAAATATTCATCTTGCGAAAAAATGGCAGTGGCCATTTTTGTAGATAATGATACGATCTTCTTTTTTTATCTAAACAAAAATTGTCTAATTTGTATATTTTGGCAGATATTAGCGGAAAACCATTTTTTCGGACTTAAGGAGACATTTTGAGCCCTTTCCGACCCAGCAGTGTTGGTAAAAGTTTTCGCCCTTAAAAGCAACCGTCAGGACCTAAGAATTGAGCCACAAAGAAAATCTGGACCGACTTAATGACAGCTTTGCATATTTTTAGGTCTTCAGTTACTGGAATAAATATGCACTTTCATGTTCTGATAAATAAATTTATACAATATTAGTTACGGTAAATTATTTAAATTATTTACGTCTATTATCGATTAATTATTGTAAATGTTTTCATGACAAATATTTTGTTATTTGTAATTTTGTTTATATTTTCCAAACGAATGGCCAATGGTGTCTCATTTAAAAAAAAACTTGTAATTCAGATACCTTTCTTTCTATATCAAATCTTCTCTCCTACATTTTAAAGTTAGTTTTTACTCTAAATTAATAACTAATAATAAATAAATACTATGTGTTACTTACATGGCTAAATCTTACTTTGTAAAATTAAAGAACGCCACATTGGGGTTGCTAAATTTATTTATGTGGCATGTGTTACCAATGCAATACGTGCTCCGATTCATTATTGTAATGTTACAAAATATAATTATTGTCCTCAAATTTCACACAAAAATAACCACAACCATTTTACTTAGTTCACCTTACAATATAAATCATTTATGAACTCAAAATTTAAAATTATAATTCAGGATTCTACGATATACATACAACAAACTGTCCACTTCTACTGTTTATTTACAAACGACGTGTATCTTCAGTTAACATCTGAGACACCATCGTTGCTGCGGTGGTTGCATTTCCTAACTTTATGTCCCTGATTTGTGAACATAGACTTACCGTGCTGTCATAAATGTTCCGTAGGTTGGCATCACTGATGCCACTGCTGAAAATAAGGCCGCTACAGAGAGGGCGCTGATTAATGCTCTTCTTCGCCCTACGTGGTCCCCAAGTATTCCCCATGCTAAAGATCCTCCTGCCATTGCCAACAATGTTATGGAAACTAATAATAAGAAAATTAAATAATGAAAGTGATTTACAGAGGGTGTTCCACAAAAAATGTTTCTTAAGTATACTATGACCGAAGTCCTGTCCATAATAACTACACACGGTTATGAATTAAATTCAAATTGACACTTAAAAAGAAGAAGAATTGTACGCGAATTTTTCAAAGTCCTATTTGAGAAACATTTTTTGAGGATTATTTCTTATATTCACGTGTAGATAAGCCTATTTAGGTCATCTACATTAGGTAACGCTATACCGCTATACATTACATTTGTAAGAGGTTTGTTTTCTAGCTCCAGAGAAAATAATACATGCTTGTGATGCTTTACGTTTAGATATTTACTCGAGCGTTAGTTTTATTTATGAGGTTTGTACAGCAGCTTCAGATGTTGGTTAGAAAAATTGCAAAGGCCAAGTTGTCAGAATTTAAGATTCAAGACGATATTAATAACGGAATTTAATCGTTAATCTCCTGAGTTCAAAAACATTTAAAACGAGATTGAAACACGGTTAAATAACCACAATAAACTATAGTAGTAATATTTTTCAAATAGTTCATAGGAAACTTCATCGTACAAAAAGTACTTTTTCCTACGACCACTTTGGAAAGTGACACATATCACACTATATAGTCCTATGGAAAGTGCCCTATATCACACGCGTATGAATAAGAATTTACTTTCCACCCGAGTGAGAATAAGTTACTTTCCGCAGTAGTTGTCACAAAATGTCAAACACCTAATTTCTATTTTGGTCCATGTAATGTCCATATTAATACTAAAATCGATATGATTGTTAAATTATTAAAATTGTTGTAAATTAGATCCTAGATATTTATCTTTAACAATTATTATTAAAATAATTTTAAAATAATGTTTGCTCTTTATTCTGGTTAAATATAAACCGATTAGATCATTCAATTGACACAAGGGCTATTAGCTCAGGTGGTTAGGACGTCGAACTTATCAACTTTGGCCATTTTTCGACCGCGTTCAAATCCTGGTGGGGCAGAATTTTGTTTTTTTTTTTATTTTTTTTTTTATTTTTTTTTTTAGTTTTTTTTTTTGTTTAGAAAATATGAAAATTGAATAAATACGATTATTGTCGATTATTTTTTTAATTACATTTTAATTATTATAGTAATAATAACCTTGGATTTACATTTTTTTGATGACATTATTTTGTGGTCGTAGGAAAAATATGGTACATCACTTGTGTGAAAAGTGATTTTTCACACTCGTAATGTAATATACTATAACAACATTTTACTGTTCAGATATCATGGATGTCGAATAAATAATTATTGAAATTTAAAATTGTATGTCTTTGGTTTTCCTATTTAAAGTGATGTAAACACTTCAAGTCCTCTGACAAAAGAGTATCGCATTTTTAGTTACAGTTTGCACGTGTATTCTTATTTCAGTTGAGCTTTGTTGTTGCTTAGAGGCGTACACTTTATTAAGGTGCATTTACACGAATACAAGTCACAAAAATAAGGTATACATTTGTCTACAAATACTAGAACAATTTACTTTCGTACTTTATAAATAAATTTCCCAGCTGAACATTGGTTTTTAGCGTTTTCAGAGTTTTTAAAGATAATCCAAAACATGTGAAAATTCGTGAAACAGATTCTTTGTTAAAAAATATATTATTACAAGAGGCACAGAAAATATTTATTGGATAACTCACATAAATTTTTTTAATTAATATAATTTTTTTCACCACTGGACTCTGATTCAGACTCATCACTACTTGCCGTTGTACCAAAATTAATAATTATTAGTTCTAGATCAGAATCATCTAATTACCTGTATTTTTTCCAATCGGAAAGAATTACGCTTTTAGTGTGTCTTACATAATTGTATCACATACGGGGTTATGATCGACAAGTAATGTTATTTTTAACAGACACGTTATTTGTGAACAGGTTGCAATTTCTGTGTGTTTATAAAATAACAGGCCAGTTAAAAATAACACAGGTTGTCAATCATAACCCCTTGAGTATCGGTAACATTATTCAAAGCTTCTGACCAAGTCTGATACATCTATCGGTGACGACTTTGTTAAAATTTTTTCTTTATGAAACCATTTGCACTGTGACCACACCATCTCTATCGCATTATACTGGCTGTAATATTGAGTTCTTAATATTTTATGCCCATATTCCTCAACATATCTATATCCAGGTAGAATTCTTTTCGTGTTACATTTTGACATACAACTTCATTAATCTGATATTTCATATTGATTGGATAATCATCTTATCTTTTCTCCAACTATAACATGGAATTGGTTATGTTGGAATATCGTCCTGTTGGGGTGTCGCTATCACAGGAAAGTATTTAGGCCACAGTTGATTCCAAAGATGTAATGTAAAAATACCAGGATTTACTTTTGCGAATCCTTTTATTTATATTCTAAAAGACATTACAACAAAGTCAAAAACAAGTGAACAGTACAACTAAGGCTTAAAGATTTAACTTAACATCTCTAACAGGTTCCACGTACTGCTAATGATAATGATATCGATTATAATCAAAGAAGGATTGTCCAGACTAGGTACACATTTCGTCTTAAATCATTTTTCAAAATAATTTTCTGTGTTTATATTACTGTAGTAGTATTACTTTGTAAATAAAATACTGTCTGTGTAATCAACATATAACAACAAATCTTTAAGCAGAGGACAGGAGGAAGCACCGTGGGTTCGTTGTTCTTCTCGGTCGTCCTCTCGTCTCATTATCAGTCACGTCACTTTAGGTCAGCTCTTGTCAAACGGTTGTGGCTACTGTTACTTACGCCGAGATAATACCACAACTATGGTAATCCCCACTTTTTGATTCGACTTTTAAATATGAGGGCTGCATTTTTTTTAAACCCTTCTTCATTGCTACCATGGACAATTATATATTTCATCTTGCTAACTTTTTCTGCCACTTTTCTTGCTATATACCCACGTCTTATCCATAAATACATGCTTAAAGTTACCCAGCTCTCTTTCCTTATTCAACTTTTTCAAAAAGGAAATGTTCGATGTTCTTTCCAATAAAAGCTGTCTGTTGTTACTTAAGCAAAAGCCAATTTTTCAAATCCGTGTATTAATTGACCGTGTAGAACATTTCACATCAGGCATTACTTCCAAAAATGGTTTATGTAACGAGTTCATTGTTATATATTGCGCACCTTCATACATCTTATATATAACTTGCCTCAAATTACTTAATATTAAAGAATTGACTTTTGTTTTACTTTGGCTTACTTTTTTAGACAACATTTTCACATACTCTATATCAGAATTTGTTGGTTAACTAAAGCTATAGTTTTTGGCGAAATATTTAATGCCTCTACAGCCAGTTGCCAGTTGATTGTACCTCTTTCCAAGACCCTCGCAAATAGATTGGTGTCTCTTAAAATAGGAAACTCTGTTTAGGATTAAAAATTTTTATTGATCACTAAATTATTTCACTATTTTGTTGAATACTTATAAAAGCTTTCGAAATATCAAAACATAAAATTTTGTAGCAAATTGAAAAATTCACAATTATTTTGATAACTGCCACCTGACACAATAAAATGATGTAATTAATCTACGACGAGCCAAAATCTATAGTAACTTTTCGTTTCATGCATTTTACATTTAAACAACAAAGAAAGCGAATGGTATTTTCGAGACTTTATCTTATCTTTGTGTGAATTCTGTAGGAAAAGTGTAATATTCGTAAAAAAATAATTGGGTATGTTCTTTATTCTACAAACGAAATAAAAAGGGTAGCTACGATTAAAATTTGCGGATAATATATTTTCAAAATTTTGTAGTGGTCGATATGAATTTTAAATAAATGATTAACTACCTATAATAAATGTTAATGACACATTTGAGCAGAATGGATGATCTACCAAACTTGATGTTATAATTACCTAGCCAACCTTTCCTATGTTCTCCAATACATAAATGTAGTTCTGCGGCAGGCATGAGGTATCCCAAAATTGTCAATTCGGAACAATCTGCCGCTAAAGCTAGACCTAAAACTATAGCTAATAATAGTTGCGCTTTCCCAGTGGCAGCTTGTGATAAAGCGTCTTCGTGAAATCCAACCAAAGCTTCGCCATTTTGGGGAACAGTTCCGTTACCCGAAGGGAACCCAAAAGATGCTAAAACAGTTAAAGCGGCGATTAGAAAGTTGAAAAATAAAATCTGTATTCGAGTCAACTCATGAAATTATAAAGTTCTAGTACATGAGGTATGGCTATAAAAAACTGGAAATGTTCCTGGTCTTTGCATGACAGCTCTGTTCATTTTCAGTACTGATTTGATCTTAGGGAATAGCAAAATGTCATATGGGCTAGATCCGGTAAATAGGGTGGATGTTCTAAGTTCTAACACATGGATCTTATTTTCGGCTATTAGCCCCTTGGCAGACAATGCGGGTGTTGGCCACTTGGTCGCCGCGGTTAGTTTTGTCAGCGGGGTTCCGTAATCTCATCGACCACTTGGTCTCCAGTTTTAAAATCAGGTAGGCCTCTTGGTCGCCGTAGTTATGAATCATTAAAGGTATCTATTTCGATTTATTGAAAATAATATTTTTAAGAAAAAAATAGTTTAACTGATTTTTATTATTTTCCACGTGAATAGAAATTTTTAACTGATATGATATGGTACAGAATGTGGGTCAGGAAAAGAATAAAACCAAATTAAAAAAACACTTATAATTAATAGAAAACAATATAAAATTATACATAATAAAAAAAAGTAGGTACAAAATACACAAAATACCAAATAAAAATTATTTAAGAAACCCAAATTGCAATTAGTTTTTGTAATGATAAGAAACTACTTTGATAAATTGAGTTCGTGAAAGGATCTTATTTTTATATTGTTCTATTACGTTCGTTAAATACGCATGCCGTTTTTTGTAATTAGCGTTTAGTATTTAACTGAATATCGAGAATTACATTAACAAATTTGAATATATCGGGATGCGCCGAATAAAAAGCAGAATTAAAATGTTTGTGGAAAGACTCACAAGCATTTGTTGTGCGTTCTGTGGAACTTGTGCACGATGCCCACATTGTAGGCGGGAAGTCAGACGTATCGCTAGTATACGTATTAATCATATAAAGAGTATATGAAGTTAATCTCTCGTCAAATGGCATTATTGGAATTAAATCTTTACAAAAACACTCTGCCACTTCAGTACTTTCCAAAAATAAAATGCCGAAAGTGTAATGAAGCCATTTGCCGATTTCAGAATTTTCATTTTTATATTCGGAAATCAAACCCAGATTTTGTATCTTACGTAACCACGATTGGGTTAAATGAAATCTACATCCAATAATTAAGATATCAGGCCAAATCTGTATAATACCAGTGTGTATGGCTTTCTCAAAATCGCAAATAACTTTACACAGCTTCCAATCTAAATTTAAATTATTATAACAGTAATCTTTTAATAATTTAAATGCAGTTGCATAGGTACTTGCTCTTTTATCTGGTAAAACAAAAAATGCCAATGGTATGTAGTGTCCGTTATCAACAGCATTTATAGTGAAAAATTGTAAAAAAAATTTAGGGCAATAATTAAATGTGCCGTCGCAATAAATACTATCACGAGAACACAAGTATTTTAAATTTGAATCACATGAAAATAAAATAATTTGTGAATCTTCATTGTTAAATAATAAAAATTGTTCACCCTTATTTGTAACACATTGTATTGCTTTCAGTACACTATGAACATCACTGATACACTTTGGCAAAGGTGGCAATATACTTCTTCTTGCCCTGTATATGCTTCGTCTGATGAGGTCAACATCCGTAGTGGATACATTAAAAGTATTTCCTTCCCCTCGGATTCCGCTATTAATTAACTTACTGGGTTTAACGCAAATATCTTCTGTTGCCTTTCTTTTCAATCCGTTTTGAAGTTTTTTTACATCTAAATGGTCCGATGGTGGATGATTGTGTTCACTCTTAGATTTCAATAAGACAGTTTCCGAATCGTCCACTCCAATAGTCGCTTTACACCCACGACGAGTACACTTATATGATACACCTAACTTTGTTTCCTTGTCTTTTCCAAATGTATATTTTTTTACAATTAACAACTTTTTTCCTTTTACACTTAACATCGACTCCATTGCAACACAAACTCAAAACTTCTTTTATGGAATAATGAATAAGATGAGAATCACTTTTAAAATAAAAAAATTAATCTTTTCAGTAAGAATGCAGACAATTAACTGATGAAAAATATTTTTATTTTAGTTCTCGACAGGTCACAAACCGATATTATAATTAGAGTAATTAAATAACCCCATAATTTTCTTGGAACCCTTAATCCAGGTTTGGAGACCAAGTGGCCTATACCTTTCGAATAGCGAAAGGATTAAATTTGGGTAAAACTGACCGCGGCGACCAAGAGGTATATTCCCTCGAAACTTATCTACTGTTTGCAAAAAATACTTTTTTTTATCAATATGAGCTGTGTCCAGGCCGTTGGAGTCTGTGCCCGTCGGCGTAGCTAGGTATGGGTTAGGTAAATTAGTTCAATTTTGTTTAATTTTTCTTATTTTATGTATATTTTTTTGAGAAGCAACTCGTGGTGACTCCAGGCCGCACAGGTTAGATAAATTAGTTAAAATTTGTTTAATTTTTCTTATTTTATGTAATTACGCAGATGAGGAAGAAGGTCTTGATATTAACATTTTTTAAATCGCCAATTTTTTATAATTTTTTTGATATTGAAGTCAATGTTGGCTTGGTACAACACAGGGCATAGGTAAAATTGACCATTGACATGTAATTATTAATATGGCAACATTGTATTTCTTTTAGACACACGTCAAACTTCCAATGTCAATTTTCATGAAAATTAAATAATTCCGACGAACTTAAACATGAGCTTAAATTAAGAAAATAAAGTGTTTGCGAAAAAAAATGGATGTTCTAATATTGTTATTTAGCAGTTTCTATAACAAAAAAATAATCAAAATGATGCAGTTCAAATTTTTTCAACATCAAAATCAGGACACATTTTATAGTTTCAAGGCAAGAAAAAATATTTTAAAGCGTTTGCAGGACAAAAAAGTATTTTGAAATGTGTGTTTCAGAGGGTTTAAAATGATCTAAAAAAAAAATAGATGGTTCGACCGATAGCGGATTTTTGCAAGATATTTTTATTGACAACTATTTTTTATATGTGAGATTTACAACATTTTCAAGCAAAAAAAATATATTATACAAGGGGCATTAAAATTTTATATGAGTATTTATTTTTTTCTGAATTTTCCAGAAAGGAAGCGTGTAAAGTTACTTTTATTTACAGTTTTTATTTAAAATTAGGCAACTTGAAAAAATATACAAAATAAAAGGTATAAGGTATTATAAAGTAGTAAGAATTTAAATTTTTTACTTTTTTCTTTCCTATTTCAAACTATTGCAGTTTTAAACATTTTTTTAATTTTGAACTTTTATAGCTTCGAAGTTTCGTCATTCGAACTTTTGATTTTTCTCATTCGAATTTTTATAGTTCGAACTATTGTTTTCTAAATTTTCTAATTCGAACTTTTGTTATTCGAACTTTTGTTATTCGAACTTTTTTCAAAACTCAAATTTTATATATTTTTTGGTTTGTTTCTGTAATGTTACTAGTCATTATTTTTATTTTATTTTAAAAATCTTATGAACTAATTACTTCTTGATATGCCCTCCAACTTTCTGGAGTGACTGACTCTTTTTAAAAGTGTTCTGGAAACAATATTAGATGTATCTTGCCAGTAACAAGTTGTTTTCGTATTCCTCCACAAAGAATATAGTAGAATTCGCAAAAATTAGTTCTTAAAGGAATGTCAGGAATGTGTGACAGGGTTGTCATATTATTAATATTGATATATGCTTCGAGCAATTACTACTAGAGGGAGTCTTCTCCAATTCCCCGCGCTAAATTTTATTAGCAACATCTACTTCCCCGAGGGGGAAAATACCTCTTCTGTAATTGGCTTATTTAATCAGCGTTGCCAAGTTTGACAGCGCCAGTTCTGACACTTTCTGACACATGTCAATTTCTTATTTGTATTTTACGGAAAATATTATTATTTATAAAGTTGTAAGGGTTGTAAATATATATTTAAGATTTATTATCTCTAATATTATGGTGAAAACATGCTTTATGTGTAAAAGGCCTTTTGAAAATGCTTCTTCAAGATAATATCATAAGTAAGTACAGACACAACCTAATTATCAGAGGCGGTGCATTAGGCAATCACCTTTAATTTGCAATTAAACTTTCTTATTTTCTTATCGAAAAATTAAAATTAAGAGCAAGTAAACTCCAGCTAAGTTCGTCTTCATCCCTCTCATAATGATTATAGTAAAGGTTAATTACTATTAATTATTATTTTAATATCACATCTTTGTAAAGTTTATTATTATTTTTTTTTGTTTCCTTTTCTTGATATGAGAAAGAAATACATGGTTCCAAAATATAGGAATTCAACAAGTGACCAACTGAATAACTTTTTATGCAACAGCAAGTAAGTAGAGAAACTTAAGTTTCTTTCAAAAAGAATGTTTAAGGAAACAGGCATAGCCATTTTTTTGTTGACACTTTTTTTTAACTAATTTAAAAGACTAATTTTGTGTATTGTTTAAATTTTCATTTTTTGTACTTAATTTGTTTTAGGTTTAAATAAAATGAACTTCTAAGATATGCATGGAATATCCCAAAAGAGCTAAGGAAGGTTTTAAAATAAAATAGTCTTCCTGTCCAAAATATAAATAGGTAGGTATAAATATTTAGATATTATGAGTGATTTTTTATTCTATAAATAGAACATAATTTGCTTCTAAATCACTACCTAATGAACTATATTATATAGTACAAAACTAAACAAGAATATCACATTATTCATGTTTTTTTTTTTAAATTCCTTAAAAAACGTCCCAAAAAATGTTAATATTTATTATTGGAGTTTACATCATTATGCTAACACAATACTAGAACAACTTAAATATGTGGATTTTGACTATTTTGAGTTATGCACATCATTATGATCTAAAAAAATGTTTGTCTGGTGCTATAGTCAGGTATAAAAACATTCACTTATTTAAACACAGTTGCAATATACATTTTATTTAGTTTTTAAGTTAAAAC